TAGGGACGGGCGCCTTTTCTTCCCCAGAGCGCCCCTGTACGCTCTGCATCGTAATGAGCCTCCCGTGGCCTCCATGTGGCACTTACAAGCCCCTCACACTGACCTGGAGAGGGGCATGGGGTGTGTGTCCTCCCCTTTCACGATGGGGGGGCGAGCTCCTTTGGCAGAGCCATGGGCTCACTTTCCAGGCACGGGGCCCTCAGGATTCCAGAGAGCTCATTCCGCTCAGTAAATGCAATGCCTGTGCTTTTCTTTAGACTCAGAAGTGAGCATAAAAGGTTTACAGCAAAGCCAGGTGCCCGGGCTTCTGCCCTGGAGTCTTCCCAGGCATCAGAATGCCCCTAACATATAGCATGGCCAGCACAGTCCTAGAAAGGAAGGACTATCCCTTTTGGACCTGCTGCCTGTCCTCTCAAGCTTCATGATAAGGTTTACAGAATTGGTGAAAATGGAAAAGAGGTCAAAGGTGACCCAGAAACTTCAGGTCCCAGCACAGGATTTCTTTGTCAAACAACAGTCAGACCAAATCCCTGGAAGGACTTCCGGCTGCCACATTTCCCTGCAAAGGCCGAGGCCCAACGTGGCTCTATTTTTTTTTTTTTTTTAACCAGCTGGGTATCATTCTTGAGCTCCAAGGGTGAAACATCCTTCTCCCAGTCTCTCTCCTCCCCAGATAAATGGCAATTATATCCTTTCAGTTCAGGCCAAAAACTCTGAAGTCACCTTTGACTTCCCATCCAATACATCAACGAATCCTGTCCACTCCCTCTTCAAATATAACCCAAAATTCAACACTTTCCTGCTGCCTCCCTGGACAGACATGATCAGCTCTTGCCTGGACTACACTTGAGCTCCCTTTGTGATCAACCTGCTTCAGTCTTGCCAGAGGTATCTTCTAAGACAGCCATCCAAAGCGACGTCTCGCAAATCATATTGCACAGGTATCAGACAACGCTGTCCGCACGTGACCCGGCTTTGTGTTCTGCAAACAGGGAGCCATGAGGCCTGACAGTGGTCTCCGACAGCAGCACCAGGGGAGCACTGTGGTAGACCAGGGGCGCCACTGAGGTGACTTTAGGGTGAGGTCACAGCCTTGTATGCTCGGGATTTATCATTCCTGAGCCAAGCTCCTCTATTCCTGACCTCTCTGGGGTAATGAGTCTCATCACCAGCCTGCCAGGTAATGGAATTCTCTCACACACACACACACTCACTATGCATGCATATGCAGAAATGAAATTTGTTTATTTGGAGGGAATTTATTTATTTTTCCCAAACTAACTTCTTTCAGTATTCTGTGTTATTTGATGAATAAGTGTATGAACAAACAACACAGAATAACTATATCACAGTTTTAACTAAATCTTAAAACGTTTGGCAGAAGCCATCTCATCCTACCAAAAAAAATTACTTTTGGCAGCTTTCCACTATCAGAAAAACAAAGTCCAAATAGCTGAGGGCGTTAACGCAAGACTTTCCCCGAAAACTCTAATGACCACTGCATCCATCGCCTCAGTGAGTCCTCTCAGGGAGGTCCCTCTACAAGGACTACTCCCTGCCACTCGAGTCTGGTTCTCGATGACCTCCCTGTCCCACAATCAGCAGGTCTTCTCTCTGTGGGGTTCCTGGCCTCTGCCACGCCCCTGGCCTCAGGCACATGCGGCCACTTCCCCGGAGTTCCTGCTTTTCTCTCTAGAACTATCTCCCTTACAGTGTTGGCGGCACTGTGTCTCTGAATGCTGAGCAACCTGAACACAGTAGGTGTTCAATAACTGGCAATAACTGGATATAATATAATAATCAGCAATTGATCATCTTCTTCACGATTTTTGGAAACTGCTTACATTCCCTTAGCACTGTCCTCTGCAGATAAAGAGCCATGCAGCCTTCTACTCTGATCCAGGAAGGAGTCAGATTTTCTCTACAACACTCTTATGGGAGTTCAGGTGCATTTCATGTGAGGGAGGAGCAGCGTGTTTATTTCCACTGAGACATTCCCAGTCAGCAAGGCCCACTGAGTCCTGGGTCTGCGTGTAACACCGTGTGAGTCTGTCTCCTCATATGTAGATGGTGACGGCTCATCCCCCAGGTATGCTGACAGTCAAGTCTGGTACAGTACCTGTCACACAGTAGGTGTACAATAAACATCAGCTGCTTTTCAAAGATGGTGTGAATAAGAGGTCTGACAGAGTCTGGTCACAGATGCTAGCCCAAAGCTCTCAGGAAACAGAGAAAAGTAGAGACAGCACGGATCTCCTTTCAGCAGCGATGGCTCCTACCAGGACATACATCATTCGCCAAAGGCCTCCGAAGATGTAAAGATTATAGAGAAAAGCCATGAAATCAGGGCAGATGGACCAGCATGACCTTCACTTCTGAGATGCAGCGATGGTCAGGACTAGCCCTGGAACACACCATGATATAGATGGAACAGGTGCCAATCCATTGCACAGGTAAAAAAGCAATCCAGGCTAAACCACTACTCAATATTAAGAATGTTAAAAGATAATCAGGACATGAGGTCATCATCCTGCTACCTTTCTAAGCTCCTCCGGAAATGCATGGAAGAGGTTGGAGCCAAGCAGGTCAGAGGCTGCAGGACTGCTCAGAGCCACCCAGCACCATGACAGCCCTCCTCCACCCCACGACAGGACAGAGTAGGACAGACAGCACAGGGAAGAATGGGCCTTTCATCTGCCCTCCCAGCCTGCAAAGCCTTTGGGAATTGTTGTTTGCTGTAACTGAATCTTCCAGCCCAAATGCCTTCCAAGTTGGTCATGGAAATATCTTTAGTTAGGAGAAAAATATTGATGGTTGTGAGAGAAAAATAGAGAGCTAAACAGATCATGAACACAACACGTGGTGGAAGAGAAGTCATTTTTAAAATGCAAAGGAAAACATACAATGCTTTCTATAGTTGACAGACATGAAAGCTAGCAGTATACCTCAGGAACACTGGCTTACGTGGGGAACCAAAACCATGGCTGGCAAGGACAAGAATTAAGTAAATGAAATTTTGTATTACCTTATTTAAGTTTTTAAAGCTACTCAGCAATGGTATCTACAGGTGTTTCTAGGGGTGTTGGCAGGAAAGAAGTCCTTTAAAAATCTTTCATTTGCGGGCCCAGAAAAATATTTACATCAGTGGCCGAAGCAGACGGATAGCCACTAGTACATGAAGCAAACAGGCATGGGATTACCAGGTCAGAAGCGAGAGAAGATGAAGAAATCGGGTAAGACGCTTGTCTCTGTGCTCAGCACTAGCCATAGCAGGTCCAGCAATCCGCGTGATAGCAAAGGCAGGGAGGGAAGAGAAAACACAGCTCTCTCCCAGCAGTTCTGTTTCTGCTATATTAGCTGCTGCTGGGACATTTAATCTTTCTTTTCCGTGTTTTCAAGTCCAGGCTTTTGGGTGCATTTGGGGGATTTATGGATTAGAATCTGTCTTACATCTGGCAAGTGCTGAACATTTTCATGAAGCCAAGAGAAGCCTCCCAAGTGCCTTGGGGTACTGGGTGCTTCTCAGCTCCAAAGCTTCTCCCCTCCTGCCAGCCTTGAGACTAAGAACAACTGCTTTCCAGCATAATGTTCAAAGCAGTGACTGTCTGCTTGTGACAGTGTCGCCCTGACTTTTGCCTGATTTTGCAGACCACCAGGACAATTCTCATGTCCCCATCCCACAGGTTACATGTTAAAATTGAACTCATTTTTACTTTATTAGGAAAGGATATCTAAAAATCGATTCTGGAGTTATCATTTCACCATTTCTTCCTGATATCAGTGAAAGTGCCTCGAAACACTATGAAGTCAGGGTTCTCAGCTTCGGTATGCAGAAACTTCCTGGTTTATTATGCTGGAGATGAGTTCCCAAGGTGGGGTAGTACAGGCCACTGCCAAGGCCTGACAACTGACCAGGAAGGCTTTAAACTGAACATTATAGGAGAGGAAAGTGTTTCACAAAGTTGTGAGAATCACGTGTGCTCTGGAGGACAGCTCATATGACAGTGCAGAGGGGCAGGAGGTGACCAGAAAAGTCCTGGGAAGAAGGGTGGGAACAGCACTCAAGGGCGAAGCCCATGTGCCAGTGGACAGAGCACGGGCAATACACAGTCACAGAGAGCGGAGCCCAGATGGCTAACCTCAGAAGAAGGAAGGCACCAATGAGCTTGCCCGAGTCATTTGTGGAAATCAATGGCAGCCCCAACAGGAGACACTCGACCTCAGGAACAGAGATCTGTTTATTTTTCTGTCATTATTTTCAAACTTTTTATTATGGAAAATTTAAAACAGGTGCACAAGGAGCAAGAATAATGAACTCCCACGTGCCCATCATCCAGCCTCTGCTGGTTCTGTCTGACAGGGAGGTGGAGGCAAGGGAGTTTCCAAAGATGTCCTCTTGACGTTTCACCCTTCATCAGAAAAGTGGCACCACCAGGGAAAAAAATTCAAAAAACTAAAACTCTGTAAGAGCATACACTGGGCAGAATTAAATTTGTTTTAGGCAGTGAGACACCCAAAGACAGCAGGTCAGAAAGTGGAAATAAACAGTTATGGGGCTTGATGGTCACAGAAAGAAACCTACCCCAATAAACTTCATCTTAATCAAGTATTTATCCTGTCATTCCTATCTGAACTGTACTTAGTACAGCCAAATTGTTAATGAAGAAGAGTTCTTTATAAAAGAATCCCAGCTCGAAGCAAGAGGTTTACTTAAGGCCAGGAGTTCGAGGCTGTAGTATGTTATGTTCACGCCAGTGAATAGCCACTGCACTTTAGCCTGGACAACATGGTAAGACCCCGTTTCTTCAAAAGATAAAAAAGAATCCCAGCTAACATGAAATAAACATTTAACACTAGAAATAATAGATACTCAATGGTTCCTAAACTGGGGGACTGGGTGGTGGGGACTGCACAGCAGAGAAATCATGCCATCCATATAAGATGCGGTGCCTAGAATGCCACCCTCTAGCTACTTCCTACTTCCCCAGAGATGAACCCACCTGTGGCCTTGTCAGTCAGTAAGAATCCACTTATAACCTACACGATCTGCCATAAAGATGCCTGACAATTACACAGAACTGTTAAAAAAAAACAAACACCAGCCAACACGGGCCACCAGACCTGCTGTGGCCCTGCAGCCTCCATGCACACTCGGGTGCCCAGGGACACAGCACTCAGTCTGCCCAGGGCGTGGATGCAGCCCTTCGTAAACACACGCCAGCACACTGAGTGCGAATGTGCACATGGGCATCCAAACACATCTTCCAGCCAGCTCTCAGCTAAGTCAAAGCAGGGGGTCACTTCCCCCATACTCCCCCTCTGAACTGGAATTTGCGATACGGTTTCTTACTGCAGACTTACCTTCCTAATTATGACTTCCTTAAGCTAATATGAAAACTAATTTGTATTCTCTAAGTACCCAGCAGCTGGGTGGGGGCGGGCAGACAGTTCAGGCTTACATGGCTTGCTTAGAGAAACTATCCAAGGATTTAAAATGTGTCATGAGTAATCTGCATGACAGATAATCGGTATGGGACAATTGAGCTGACTATATTTACAATTATAAAGTCGACAGACCACTTCTGTCTCTTAGGACTGCCATGAGGACAAATAATATTATGTTTACATGGCTTAAGTTCTCGGGGGAAAAAAGACACCGTCCAAATTTGAGTTTTCTTATTTTATTTTATTTTATTTTATTTTATTTAGAGCTGAGGTCTTGTCATGTTGCCCAGGCTTGTCTCGAACTCCTGGGCTCAGACAATCCTCTCACCTCAGCCTCCCAAAGTGCTGGGATTATAGGCGTGTGCCACTACGCCTGGCCTAAACCTGAGGTTGTTATTTCATATAGGCTTTCTCCCTAGAGTCAAAGCAACTGTGTAGTAGCTACTAGACACAGACAAATGGAAGAAGCAAGATTAAAGGCTGCGTCCTTGGTCCCAAGAGTTGCTGGGAATGGAAGGCACCAACAGCCCAGTGTCCCACTCCTGAAAGCGCTGTCGTCATACACACACAACGATTAGGTCAAACACACACTCCTGGCCTTGAGTGCTCACATGCCCTCTCATTAGGTGCTCTGCTTAATGAAAAGAGCTGTCCAGTCTAACAGCAGGGCCGTGAAAGCTTGAGGATGAGAAGGCCAGAGAGATGATCAGCTGAAAAGGACATCCCTAAAATTAAATTCTATTTTTATGAACTATAATTGTGTGTGTGTGTGTATGTGTATGTGTGCAAGGGTTAGAAGTAGGAAAATTCTTGGACAGAAAAAAGTACAATAGGTGAAAAGATAAGGAGCACACTCTAGAGAAGTGGTTCTCTAGAAGTGGTGGCTGGAAGGGTTTGTTCCAGAAACATTCAGGCGGATTTCATTTTTCCCTTGCAACAAGACTGAAATGGAAACCCCAAGCCTTCCTCAAACAGTCAAGTCATGTCAAGAGGTTCAGCTCAATCTCTAAAGCAGTGCTGTCTACAGAACCTTCCTGTGACAATGGCCACATGCTATTTGTGCGCTATCCAGCACAGTGGCTACAACACTTGAAACGTCACAGTGTGACTGAGGAACTGAAGTTTTAATTTTATTGTTTTAATTAATTTACATTTAAACAGCTAGAGCACGGCTCTAAAACCTTCCCAGAGCTTCTAGTGTGCCAACCCACACAATAGAGGTACAGCAGACAGACAGACACATACACAGTAAAACACTCTAAGAGCTGCCTTTGTTTAGGTGGAAACTCAATCTGAAATCGGATGCTGTGTACTCACCTACAATGTTTTCCTGGCATTTCCCTTATTTACGTCACAGGTTATTTCCTTTACTTCCCTTCCCCATCAAATTACTTTTAACGCCCTCCAGTCCCCTAGACCTACATGAGAAACTCCACCAGCGTTTAAGAACGATGCAGCGGAGATAAACACTCCAAGCAATACAGAACCTGGGCTGGGCCAAGTCAGAGGTGCTGGATGCCTCTCTCATGAGCCAATCTGATAGTGTGAGCTTTGCAGTCTCGCGCAGAGCAGTGTCTCGACTTCCATACTTAGACCCCTCCAGCAATTTTCAGATCCAATTGCTGGCTTTACAGTGGCAAAGATGCTTTTATCAATTTCTCTTCGAAAATCCCATTTAGGCTCTGTACACCTCTAAATTAGGGCCTTTCTGATCATGAAGACTTGGTGGAATTATAACATCCCAGGCAATTGTGCTGACAAAGCAAAACCAATATGTCACCATGCTGGGCCTGTGCTCTCAGTCTGACCAACAGGAGGAGAAAAGAGGCTTTGTCAGAAGCAGCTGTGCAGTGGGAGGCCCAGGAAAGCAGATCTGCTGAATGAAGCAGGTGCCTCATTGGACATTCACTTTACTGACTCTAACCACAACCTCCCTTTTATTTGATACCCTGCTCTTGGCAAGAGGACGGGGAAAGAGCATCGCACAAAAGGAAGCACATTTATCCTGTGCCGGTTATAGCTCCTGCCAGGCCGCTGCTGCCCTGGGTCCTGCACATTTGCTCTTCATCAAGCACATGTGAAAGCCGGGGGCTGGAAAGCGAGTCCCCGCACTTACCCAGGTAACCTGAGAGCCAGAGGGCCTCAAACAATCTGGCTGCAATGTACAAGCCATTAGAGTTAATAACAGTGCGCTGACATTCCTTCAAAATCCTAAGGGAAGCATAAATAAAGGGAGGAAAGTCCCTTTACCCACGAACCTTAAAAACTTTATTCTGTAAGAGGTTTTCCTGTTACAACATTCTGGTTCCTGTGTGAACAATGACTAAGGCCCTTTTAACATGCGCAATTAAAACCCACTTTTTTATCCATGTGCTGAACAGAAATGGCTCCAATTAGATCTATCCAATTATAGCTTTGGATTTGGTATGCCAAAAAATATATATATATCCTTTTATGGAATACTGTCTGTAAGGAGAGGCACCAAGACCATCCTGGCTTACAAGGGGTGGTGTCATCAGTGTCCACTTGGCTCTGCAGTCTGGAAGTCTTCAAGCAGCAGAGCCGAGGATAGCAATTCCTGATGTGCACATGATGAAGGGCTGAGGGCACCCAACTCCCAGTGTGAAGGGAGGAGGACACATCCCCCCTCTGGACCTGCAGATGTGCCAGGAGAAAGACAGCCCGCCCCCCAGAGGGCAAGAGATGCTCCTGGGACACGGCTGCCCCTTCTGAGGGCATCTCCTGCGCAGCATCTTTGCAGGAGGCAAAGGGAAGCACTTAAGAGCCCTAGCACTGGGCGCTCCCTCCAGCAGTGGGGCATGTATGTCTGAGAAGGGACAGGAAGGACCAGGTAATTCTGGAGAACACAATCTCCGGATGCCTGAGGGATACAACAGACTTCCATCAGTAAGCAGGGATTCTCATGTGAGACGTGCCACCTCCTTCCAAGCAGATGCCCAGGTCCTAAGAATGTGTCCTGCAAGTGCTGGGAGTCAGCCCTTCCTATTCTGTGTGAATGCTCAATAATGATAATGGTAGAAACAATATCAGCAGTAGCAGCAGCTAACAGTTACTGCATGCTTTTGATGCCCCAGGCACCATCTAACTAGTCTCTGCTGCCCCTACCTTAGTGCCTCGACACATCTGGATGGGGAGGGTGGGGAGTCAGGGAAACGCCACCTCTTCCCAAGAGCTGGTGTGGAAAGCAAGGTGGGTTCCAGGAGATCACCAAGAAGGGTTTGGGGAGGGAGGACAAGAACCACCACCAAGCTGTCCCTTTCCTCTCACAATGCCATGAGCAGGGATGAGTAACACACATGGGCAGTGAACTGGACCCCTCCCTAGGTGTCTAGAATTGAGAGTCCATGATACAGCCCCGTGTTGTCATTCTAAGCACAGCTATGTTTCACTGAGCAGTCAGGAACTCATCCCCCAGTAATGGCTTCTTTCAGCCTTGGGACCCATCAGGCTTCGGGTACTTGGTTTTTTGGGGGCCACCATAAAACCATTGGAGCACCTGGCTGCAGATACCTAGAGTCAAGAAGAGAAGCTGACACCTGGAAGAATCTAAGTGGAAATACGCACACGGCCAAAATGGCCTGGGAAGTGAGTCTAGGTATCACCACTGCCGCTGTCCGAGGCTTTCCTGCTCAGACTCTCAGTGCATAAAAATAGGCCAGTTCTTGCAACCCTCCTCTGTCCTGCTGTTTACTGGCTGCGGATTACTGCAGTCACGTGGGTCTTTTTTTTTTTTTTTTTTTTTAAAAGCAAAGCCATGCTATGAGCTGAGAAGGTCACTGGGAGACAAGGCTTATGAAGTGTCATCCTACCCTGGGTAGAGGGGGCACGACTTGCCGGAAGGCCCTGAATTACCACCACAGCCTCTAGGTCAGCACTACCCCAACAGTGGAAATGTTCTGTCTATGCACAGTCCATTACAGTAGTCAGTAGGTACACGTGTCTATGTAAACTTAAATGGGAAGAAATTACAATTAAATTAAAAATTCAGAATCTCACATGTGGCCATTCAGCACTTGAAACATGATTTATGTGACTGATAATTACCTTTTACATTTTATTTAATTTTAGTCAACTTGCATTTAAATTCAAATAGCCACATGTAGCTGGCTGCTACCACAATGAACAGTGCATATTTATATCTTAGGTTTTGATACCATGTTTTTATTCACCTCTGCTAAGATTTATCATGACTCTTGACTTCTAAAGTGAATAAGATATAGCTGTCATCATTCCTTAAAACAATCCTGCAAAAGAGTCAGACACCAAATACCTGCATAATAGGATCAACAACAAAGACCGATTTTCGCCTGTTGGAGACCTCCCTCATTTCCTGGGCTAGATGGGTTGCAAGAGGGAGTGAAGGGAAGAAGGGGGCCCACACGGCAGCAGGATGTGTCCTAGGGCTAGGGCGGTCCCCAGGTGTACCCCATAGAGCTGGCTGACCCAGTGAGCCTGGCCTCAGCTGGCTGCAGGCAGGGCTCGGAAGACCTGCCCCACTCACACTGAAGGAGGACTCAGCAGCCCTTGCTTAGTCATCTGCAGGAGGCGACAGTGGCAGCAGTGGTGGCAGTGGTAGTACAAAAAGAAAAGAAAGA